AATGGGCAGAGGAGCTATATATACACCTCTCCAAACAGAACATACAAATGACCAAGAGTCATATGAAGAAATGCTCAACATCACTAATCATCAAAGAGATGAAAATTAAAACATCTATGAGGTATCACCTCACACCTCTCAGAATGGCTGCCATCAACAAATCATCAAACAAGTGTTGGTGAGGGTGTGGAGAAAAGGGGACTCTAGTACACTGCTGGTGGGAATGCAGACTGGTGCAGCCACTATGGAAATCAATATGGTGTTACCTCAAAAAATTAAAAATTGTACTTCCATTTGACCCAGTGATCCCACTTCTAGGAATATATCCTACGAAGCCTGATACACCAATCAGAAAGAATATATGTACCCCCATGTTTGTAGCAGCACTATTTACAATAGATAAGATCCGAAAACAGCCCAAATGTCTATCAGTAGACAAATGGATAAAAATCTGTGGTACATATACACAATAGAGTACTATGCAGCTATGAGAAAGAAAGATCTCTTATTCTTTGAGATGACATGGAGAGACCTGAAGAGTATTATTCTAAGCTAAACAAGCTAAGCAGAGAAAGGCAAATATCACATGATCTCACTTATTTGTGGAATATAATGAACATGCAGTGTGAGGAACCGGGTAGTCCCAGAGACGTGGAAGTGGGGTACAGACTGACAATCCTCAGTAGAGGGGGTGTGGCGGGAGATAAATCACAGAACTCATATGCATGTATGCATGAACAATGGGCATGGACAACAAATCTGGGGACAGGACAGGGAGGTTGGACGAGGCGTGTATCAGTGTGGGAAAAAGGAGAAACATCTGTAACTAAAATAAATAAATTAAATAAAAATTTTTTTTGCCACACACGGGTTGAAAATTGCTGCATTAGAGTCAGAGACATCAGTATATACTCATGTTTAGCTTAATACAGTTATGATGGATTGGTAGAGAATAACTATAAATTATGAATGTATACAGACTGCATAGATATATACTTTCTACCTCTGTGGACAAGAGCACCTAGAAGTAAATTATTATCAATGAGCATAGACAGGATTCAAACCTGGGCTTTTAAATGCCACGCTTAAAAATTTTTTTTTTCTGTATTGATTTTTGAGAGAGAGAGGAGGGGATAGGGAGAGAGATAGAAACATTGATGAGAGAGAACACCAACTGGTTGCCTCTTGCATGCCCCCACTGGGAACCGGGAAATTGGCCCACAACCTGGGCACGTGCCCCAACTATGAATCAAACTGGTGACCCCCTGGTGCATAGGTCAACGAACCACTGAGCCACACCTGCTGGGCTAAATGCCACTCTTTAAGAGAGGAAAGGAGGTTCTTCATTGAAATAGTGGATTCTTTGATAAGGGCAGGGAAAATACAATGTAAGCCGAGAGCATTTTGTAGTAACAAAGTAAGGGAGTGCTCTAAAAACAGCAACAAAAACCTCGAAAGGATGAAGCTGTGTCAAAGGGACACAGGAATAAACAAAAAGAGCCACGTCACAAATGGTGGATATGGAACGACTTGAGCCCAAACTGTATAACCTAGTATTTATTATGTATAATATAAAATAAATAAATGAGGACACATGGATATAAATAAATGACTGAGTAAATAAATAATAGAGGAAAAAAGGGGCATATCTAGTGGGTATGGTGTGATGAGAAAAGACCTCATGTTAATCTCTGAGAAGTGTAATGCCAACCTCATCGTGAGAAAAATCAGAAAAATCCCAATTGAAGGACATTCTGTGAAATTCCTGACTAATACTCTCAACACTGGCAAGGTCATTACAACCAGGGAAAGACAGAGAGCTTGTCACAGACCAGAGGGATTAAGAAGACCCAACAATTAAATGCAAGAAGAGGAAATGATATGAGTGGGAAAACTAATGAAATCTGAATAAAATCTGAAGTTTAGAAAATAGTATTGTGTCAATCTTGGTTTCTTAGCTATACAAAGGTACCCTGTAGGGAAAATTAGGCAAGAATTGTATTAGTTTTCTATGGCTGTGATAACAAACTACCACAAATCTGTAAGCTTAAATAACACATTTATTCTTTTTTTTAGTTTTATTTTTATTGTTGACATTCTTACAGATGTCCCACAGCCCCCCCTTTGCACCCCTCTACTTAGACCCTGCCCTCCCCTTTCCCCAGATGTCCAAAATCAGTTTCCCTGAACAACAGTTGATTGGTTAGAAGAGCCATGCATCTTCTGGTGACTGCTTGCATCATGGTTTGTGGTCACATCATCTCTGTCTCTGCTTCCAAGGTCACACTGACCACTCCTCGTTTATCATTTATTTGTAGTCAAATCTCCCTGACTCACTCTGATAAATATACACGGGAGTGCCTTTATGGTCCACACAGATACTCCCAGATTAAATCCTTCCCTTACTCACATCTGCACAGTCCTTTTAGGCCATCTAAGGTAATCTTGGAATGTTCCAGGAATTAGGATGACTGCCACAGGGTGACGTTGAACATCGGCACTGTTTTAAATTTTTTTCTGTAACTCTAAAATAATTCTAAAGTTAAATAATTATTTGAAATAATAATCAGAAATGGTTCCAAGAGGAGAAACATCCCCATAAAGAAAGAAGTGAATATTTGTGTTATGCTATCGACACCCAAAAGTACCAGTATTAGAACATGAGCATGTCCTAGCACAATCTCACAGATATTAAGACACTGAAGCCTCTTATTCTATAGAGATAACAAATTTGACAAGGGCACACTTTTATGTGGGTAGGTTTTTTTAATTTATTTTTTTATCCTCACCCGAGGACATTTTTTTCCATTTTTTTGTTCAGATAGAGTGGGAGGGAGAGAGAGGAAGAGAGAGAAAGAGACACCTGCACGACCAACCAGGGTCGGGAACAAACTGCAACCGAGGTACTTGCCCTTAGCGGAAACCGAACCCGGGTCTCTCTGGACCGCAGACCGACGCTCTAACCACTGAGCAAAATCGGTCAGGGCTATGTGGGTAGGTTTTTATATAGTATAGAGCTCCTTGAAGATCAAAATTAAAAGTATAAATTTTATACCGTACTAGCATATTGAATGTACTGTATTTTTATTATAGACAGATATTATTGTATTTATATTCTCTATAGATATTTAGAACCATTGCAGTTAATTATATTTCATATGTAGGAAGTATTTTCAAATATAATCAGATACTAAACCTTTAAATAATCTCATATTCAATATTTTTTGGTGATTTACTAAATAGTATTTGTTTGATGTTTTACTTGCCACTTAATGAGACATTAGTTCTATGTAAAATTATTAGATTGTTGCAGATAATTTATTTGCTTATGGGATCCAGGAAATATTTGTGTCCAAATGTTAGAGTGCATGATGAGTGAAAATGTACATAAAAATATTTCAGTAAAGCAGCAAATTAGCTGTGCTTTTGAAAATGCATTCTACATCTATCTAGAAAGTTAATGTTATGGGTGACACACTATAATCATAAACAGTTTAAATATTCAACATATTGATACAGTTAGACTCAAAGCTTAGTTATTTTATTTATTCATTTAACAAATATTTATTGAGAATTTACAATGAAATAGATAGTCATTTAGGTACTGTGGATTGTGTTGTAAACAAAACAGATAAAGCCACTGCTTTCATAGAGTCTACAGTCTAGTTAGAGAAGATAGATAATAAAGTGAACAAGTAAATATTTATTAGGTGACAATTCATAAGGACTATGAAGAATAACAGAGTGAAAGGACAATGTACATAGAAATAAAGAATAGCTAATTTATAAAGGGGATCAGGAAAGAAATATACAATAAAGTCACATTTAAGCACCAACCTTAATGGCGTAAGGCAACATTCCACACAGGAAAGACCAAGTGCAAATGCCCTGAGGCAGGAACCTGTTTGGAGTTGTCAGATTGTGAAAAACTAGTAAGAAAATTAGCGTGAATGAAGTAGGGTAAAAGAATGGGACAGTCAAATGCCCATCACTAGATGAATGGATAAAAATATTGTGGTACATTTATACAATGAATACCATGCAGCTATTTTATAGAAAGGACTCTTCCCTTTGAGACAACATACAGGGACATGGAGAGTATTATGCTAAGTGAAATAAGCCAGCCAGAGAAAGACAAGAATCACATCTCTTGTCTAGTGGAATCTAGTGAACAAAATACTGATAAACAAAATAAATCCAAAGACATGGAAGTAGTTAACCGACTGATGAGCCTCAGAGAGAAGAGGGTAGAGGATGTGGGAGGAGATAAGCCAAAGGACATATATGCATATAGGCATAACCAATAAACACAGATAACAGTGCAGTGAAGGTGGTCAGGGAAGGGTGGGAGTAGGGAGGAGGGTGTCCATGGGTGAAAAAAGGAAGGACATCTGTAATACTTTCACCAATAAAGATAATTTTTTATTTTATTTTATGAATTTTTATTTATTTTTTTGTTACAGATATTTTACCTTTTTACCCCATTGGCACCCCCCACCCCACCCCACCTCCGCCCCATCCACGGCTTAGTTGTCCATGTCCATTGGTCATGCATACATGCATGTAAGTTCTGTGGTTTATAAAGATAAATTTTTAAAAAAAGAATGGAGCTGTAACAAAAGATCATTTAAATCAACAAAAGTAGACATGAAATATTAGAATTAACAATTTCAAAGCATTTCCAGAAGCAAAATGTAAAACATTATTGATTTCTACTGCAAGATGGAGGTATCTTCCTGGGGCACATGCATGCACTTTGTTCATGGTCTTCTTTGTGGCCCTATTTTAGATGTATTTGCATTAATGTGGTAGAAAAAAATGCATGTAGAATAAATGAGTAAACCAATATCCTTGGTTTTTCACAATCAGGCCCCAGACATCTTAGCCATCTTTGTTCAGGTACATTTCTGGACTTAATGTTACCTTTTTTCAGGACCACAGACTTTTGAATAGGTAAGGATGTTACTTGGGGACTTTGGTTTTACTGTAATGAAACTAGGTTACTGTACATTGTACAATGTTAAAATCATAATCCTCAAGAAAATCAATTTTGCCTCTAAAGCAACCTTCTTGAATGCACTCTTGACATCCTTGTTCCTTAGGCTGTAGACCACAGGGTTCAGCATGGGGATGACCATAGTATAGAACACAGACACCATTTTGTCAGTGTCCAGGGAGCGATTGGAGCTGGGCTGTAAGTACATGAAGATAATAGTTCCATAGGAGATGGAGACTGCAGTGAGGTGGGAGGCACAGGTGGACAGAGCCTTCTGATACCCCAAAGATGAGTGCATCTTTAGGATGGTGATAAATATGAATGTGTAGGAAATCAAGATAACCAGGAGAGCAAAAATAATGTTAAAGCTTGCCACAACAACAAGAAGCAGCTCACTAATATATCTGTCAGAGCAAGAAAGATCCAGGACTGCTGGAACATCACAGAAAAAGTGATGGACCACATTGGACTCACAGAAAGAGAGACTAAAGGTGTCCCCAGTGTGGATGGAGGCATTCAGGAAACCACAGATATAGGAGCCTATGGCCAGACATGCACACACTTCTGTCGTCATGGTGGTGGTGTAATGCAGGGGTTTGCACACTGCCGCATAGCGGTCATAGGCCATTGAGGCCAAGAGGTAACTTTCTGCAGTGGCAAAGACTATAAAGAAGAACATCTGAGCAGCACATGCATTGTAGGAGATGACCATGTCTCCTACAAAGAACCCAGTCATGACCTTGGGAGTTACAGTTGTAGAGTAACAGATGTCGACCAAAGATAGATTACTAAGGAAAAAGTACATAGGGGTATGGAGATGAGAGTCCAGCAGGATCAATACCATCATCCCCAAATTCCCAATCAGGGTGATGAGGTAAATGAGAGTGAATATGACAAAGAGGGGGACCTGAAGTTCTGGGGCATTGGTTAGCCCAAGGAGGATGAACTCAGTCACTTCTGTCCTGTTCTTCGTCATTGTGGACAATCACAGAATACTTGGTGGCTATGAGAACAAGAAAACAGTGGTAAAAAAAAATGTGAATTGTTATGTGTACATACAATATGCATTATTTCATTATAGAATTAACTTGTATTTCACGATTCTCCAGACAAAAATGGCCTTGACAACAAAACTTAGTGCATTAATTATGCATAGATTTACGTTGTTGAATCTGAAGGATCTTTATGGAAAAATCCCCCTAATTTTAAAGTTTATAAGTATGTAAATTGAGATATAGAAAAATAAATAACTCAATGAATGGCTTGTCCAGAGTGAATATATCTGCCAATTCACGTTCCCCAAGCCTGGTGAAAGCACATATTTGCATGCTGCTCACCTGCCAAAACAGCTCTAGACACTTTAAAAGTATATTCATTATATCCTCTTAATATTATAAGTTAATTTTGTTGTTACATTCATTTCAATTAGGATGCATAAGAGGTTGAGTAATTTGTTTTTTCATATTCTAAGCATGTCAATTGACAAGCCATGTTTTGGATCCAAGCCAACCCTTGAATGCAAACTGAGTGGTTCCTAAGTCCAATAGTCTTAATTGTATGTACATCAAATTGAATTCAACTCAATTTACAGTTACTCTTTGTCTCTATTGGTCCAAACTCAGTGCTTGGGGTTCACAGTGCAGCAACTGAGAGATATATGCACAGTAGATGTGGTAGGATAATTGGAGCAGTAGGGGCATGCATAACCTACAGAGGCAATTCTGAAGAGAAGGCAAAGCATCAGGGATAAAGTTGAGGGTCTGAGATAAGGTGCATACTAGCCCTACTATGTACTGCCTAGGAATCATTAATCCTAACCTAACTTTGCTGAAGCTTATATAGCATCAGCAAAATTAAGACAGCAATAAGGCCTACTTTACTTACAGTGTTAAGTAAAAATTGAATAAGGTGATACATTAAAAAACAATAAATTCTGGGTGTCCAGCACAGTCTGATGTGTGCTAGCTGCAATATTGCTATGAGGATGTAATGATGGTCTTTATGTTGGTTTGGGAAAATGGGTGGTGACAACAGGTCTTCAGGTGTGCAAGGATTTTGAACATTTAAAGCCCTTTTCTTCAATCTGCCTTTTCTCACACCCTGTGGCCACTGAGATTTTGTGTCTCCAGTTTCTCCACATTCTTGCTTAATCCATAGTATTGACTGCTCCAGCAATTCCATGTGAGCCATCATTTTGCTTAATTCTCCCTTGAAATCCATATTTTAGCTTAAAATAGTCCATTTATCTTAAAATCGCCCTTTCTCTCACTACTGTCCCTCAGAGCAGAATCACAGAGATCAAGGTTGAAAGTTCCTTGTTCATGGGCTGTCTTTAGCCTGTAGATCTATTTTGGTGGCAAGCACTATGTTGTAAAATATTTTATTTGAATCTGTTCTATGCAGAAACAGTATTTTAAATCTTTTTATTTCAATTTGAAAGGTATTCATCTTCTATTAACTACTAACATTTTTATCCTAAATTTTAAAAGAAAATCTTCTTTACTTAAAAATTTTTAAAAATTTAATCAGGGTGACATCTGTTAATAAAATTATATAGGTTTCAAGTGTACACTTTTATAATACATCATCTGTATATTGCATTGTGTGTTCAGCACCCAAAGTCCAGTTTCCTTCCGTCACCATATATTTGACTCCCTTTACACTTTTCTACTCCCCACTCCTAAAACCTTTGCGAGTGTACTTTCCAAGTCTATCCCATGATGGTATTATGTTTGCCAAACATCAAAACACATGACCACATTTACCATATAGTCCATTCTACAATGAATAAGACTTTATAAGTGTGTGTGTGTATATGTGTGTGTGTGTGTGTATGTGTGTGTGTGTGTTAGGTAGTATTATTACTCCCACTTTATCATCAAGGAAATCGAGGATTTGGGAAGTTCCATGATGCTTTAAAATGACAAAGCTTGTACAGTAAAGAATCATGATTCAAGAGTTAAATCCATATTTTATCTAATCAAAAGTCTATTTTTACTAGCTTACATATGTAGATAGGCTAGTAAAAATAAGCATGAGGTCACAGGGACAAGTTTAAAGTGTTGTTTGGATCTTGTTAATTCAGATTAGACACTCTTGTAGTTTAAAACTCAGCCTGTCTGGTGTGGCTCAATAGACTGAGTGTCATCCCATGGACTGAGAGGTCCTTCTTCAATTTCCAAGTTGCAGGCTCATTCCCCAGTAGGAAGTGTGCAGGAGGCAGCGGATTGATGTTTCTCTCTCACATTGATGTTTCTATCTTTCTCTCCCTTCCTGACTCTTGAAACAGAAATCAATAAGAACATATTTAAAAAAAAATAAAATTATAATTATTTTACTCTTTTGCTTTTTTGAGTTTACTTATTAGTCTTTTCTCATTTTATTTTTAATTACAGTTTACATTGTAAAGTACATGATTGTTTGTTTTTCATTTTTTTTTTTTTTTTACCTTCAATGAGAGGGTCAACATTTGGTGACCGAGATGAAATTATCACTTGATCAATCACAGAATCATCTACGTTATTTTTTTGTTCATAGCTTTAGGAAAGCAGAAAGATATTTAATTAAGTGTCAGTAAACTCCCATCTTTGATATTTTTATCCTAGTCTCACCTTGGTATTTTAGAAAAGCATTGAAAATACCTGTTTTTGCTTTCAAATAACTCAGAGTAAGTGTAGCTGTTCCACAGTGTTTGCATGAATTACATATCCTGCTAAAAGTGTCCATGGAACATAGATGCTTACCTGTCAGCTGGGAGAGAAAAAATAGTCGGTCAGAATACCAGCCGTAGAATATGCATAAGTACGATGAGAGGAGCAGTCTCTCAGGTAGTAGCCACCAGGCTCCAAAGTCTCTGAAGCAGGGATCCTACCCTGCATTCTTCCTGCATCCTTAGCGGGGTCATTTACCTCCTTCATGTAAAATAAACACAATGATATTACCTCTGTCACATAATACACAGAACTGTGTCTATAAAGAACAAATAAGGGAAAATCTGTAAAACATCTCAGTAAGAGGGTCTCATTTTAAAGTCAATCCACGCAATTTTTATCTTAGGGTGTTTTTCCTGACTATGGTTGCAGGCTCATAGCAAATTCTAGGATAAGGTCTCTGCATACTAACAGGTATTAACATTCACATGAATAAATGGTCACCTGATGGGCTCAGCATGTGGCCTGGTGCATCTAAAATGATGTCATGTTGAGTCATATTGGGATTTCCATAACTAATGCATGCGGACGTAGACGGAAGTATAGAGACATGGAGCTCTCTGGGAATTTCCCCTGTGGGAGCATCTATGGCCCCTCATTCCACTTTCCCAGGAAAGAAGCAATTAAATTGCCTATGTGGACATGCTGATTATTTTCATTGTACAGACAAGTTTTCTATTGTTATTTTTGTCAGTGTATACTGAATGTATAGTTTACATACAGTAATATTCACAATATAATGTACAGTTCTAAGAATTTTGTCAAGAAACCACTATTACGTAAACAAATTCCTACAATCTTCTTTTAGTAAACCCCTTCTCCTACCCACCCCTGCAACCAACCAACCGTTTTATTCAAATAATTTTGCCTTTTCTTTGTAAGAATGTCCTTAACTGCAATCCTAGAATATATACTCTTAGCATTTGAGGTCCATCCACATTATCACCTGTATCATGGTGAAATATTTTTTATTGCAGAGTAGTATTCTATTACACAAACATTACAGATTTTTATCTTGTTCTGCAGTTGAGGTACATTTGTGCTAGGTCTTGTGTTTGATCATTATCATTATAAATAAAGCTGATATAAATACTTGCTAAACATTTTTGCATAAACATAATTTTTTCATGTCATTTGGGTAAATATCTAAGAATTGGATTGTTTGGTCACATGGTAAGTATATGTTTATTTGAATGAGAAATTGCCAAACTGTTTTCTGAAGTGGCTGTACCATTTTGATTTTTCACTAGCAATCCATTAAAATTGTTTTACATCTTTATCAGCATTTCATATTTTAAAATTTCCAGTTTTAAAAATGTTCAGTAAAATATGCCATACAGAGAAAGACAAATACCATATGATTTCACACATTTATATAGAAGCTAATGAACAAAACATACAAAATAGAAACAAATTTATAGATGCAGAGAACAGACTGACAGCTGTCAGAGGGGAGGGAGCTTGAAGGGCTGGGTGAAAAAGGTGAAGGGATTAAGCATCCAAATTGGTAGTTACAGAATAGCCACAGAGATGTGGTTTGCAGTGTGGGAAATAGAGTCAATAATGTTGAGATAACAAGGTATGGGACCAGGTGGGTGTTCAGGGCAGCAAAAAGCCCACTCTCTAGTGCACAGTTTTCTGAGCACTTTGCTGTACATTTGAAACTGGTACTAAATGGTATTGGATGTGAACAGTGGTTGGAAATTGTCATTTAAATTTTATTTCATTTCTGCTCTTCTCAAAAACATTTCAAGCAGTCTCCTTAGCAAATCTTAAAATAATACCCACCTAACTTATCATCACAGTTCTGAACTGGATTTTTTTTTCTCCAACAAAGGAGGTAAATCCATTCCTTTCTTTGCAGTTACCTCTGAGCCCATATGACACTTTTATTAGATCAGGCAAATGTCATTATTACCCATGTTTCATATGCACACATTTGCACAATTCAAATATGCTTCACTTCAAATTTGGGTAAGTTATTTAGGCTCTTCATACTTCAATTTCTCTTTTGTTAGGAGAGAGAGAATAATTATCTTTTCATCCTCAAAGCATTTTCAAGATTATCACATGACATATATACCAAGTGTAGCTCTGTTTCCATCACATATCAGATATTTCATAAGATTAAATATTAATAGTTATAATTTTTAGAAATTGATATTGCATGGATAATAAAATAGAGGTACTCAGACAATCATCTGCTCACCCATAGGTACTTGCTTGCTACCTTTACAGCTAGGGAGAGACATGCAGTAGTTCTAGACAA